GGAATAATATAAGTTCAATATTTAATAAAGTATAGATCCTTAAGAGTGAAATGTCACACCCTGGGCTTTATTTGTGTTTTTCGAATTGTTATTGCACTAATAGAAAGAAAAGAGTCTTTCGAAAGGCACACGATGGCATTCTGAGAGTCTTTTTTGGTGAAATCAGCGAGATATGTAACATTCGGCTGTCATCGCGCACAAATGAGCACTCATTGCGAATTAGTTAACTCACTCATTTCTCATTTGAGAATAAACACATTTCGGAGTGGTCATACATACATCTAACTATTTAAATCACAGAAATCGTAATAAAAGACAATAGAAGTCGCATAGACGCGTGACCTTGTCGCTGCTATTATGTGTTGACGAACATACAAGTAATTCACTATTTTGTGATTTAGTTGCGCGGGGAACGTCGTACGTGAATTTGGAAAAAGTAGTAAAAATTCATCAAGGATGTGTAATTCAACTAATAAAGGCATAACATTTCATAGGTAAGTTGATAATTTACTAATTATCATTGTTTTAACTAATTTACATCTCGATGAATACTTCACTATGATATTACTTAAAATATTACTTTATGATAATTACATTTCTTTTATAATAAAACTTACTACGTAAAAGATCGTGATGAAACCTGCATGTCTAAATATGATATATTATATATATATATATATATATATATATATATATATATATATATATATATTGTAAGAAGTCATTACTCCACAACTTTCTTAAAACTGAGAAAAGGAGGGCCTGTGCCCATTAGTGGCAGTTAGAGACTGTAACTTTATTTTACAACTTTATCTTAGATGATATAAATAAATAATATCGAGGGTTTTTGACTAATTTCATTTTGATTATATAATTACACTCTGTAAGCTGAAAATCCAATTATTTAACATTCAGGCTCTTTAGCGCAGCAAATGCATAACTATTACAGCCTTCAAGTCATTTTCAAGAGACACCGAGCACCTCATCTCATCGACTCTGTTACCTCACTTCTAGGTGGAACATTTTAAACTTAGATTAGTGATCAATTAATACTATATTTTCCGTCTGTTCGACAAGGCTGTGTGCTATCCTCCTTATCAATGATATGTGGCAAACTAGTAACATTCGTTGCTATGTGAACGACAGCACTGGTGATGCTTTTTACACCGGCTGTGCCAATATTTCTCGGGACCACGTCATGGAGTACGGGTACAAGCTTGTGTCTTAAGTCAAGTCGTTGTTTTACAAAGTCTCGGTTTAGGAACGACTAAATTACAGACTAGGTACAGTTTAACCACATTGTCGTATCTCTTCAATTTCAGGGCACTACTCTTACTTCATCAGTTGGCAGCGGAGTCCTCGGCGTCTAAATATCGAAGGATGTGCAGTTTCGTGGTCACTTGAAAGGGTAGGCTAAATTGGGATCTAAAAAGCTTGTTGTGCTCAGCAGAGCTGGACAGTGGACAGTATTCCATGTCGGCACACCAATTGTAACTTTACAAGGCGCAAGTTCGGCCCCATATGGAATACCGTTCTCGTTACTGGGCTGGGCCTCCCCAGTGCCAGCTCCTTCCAATTGACTGCATCCAGCGTAGAGTGGCTCGAATCCTCGACGACGACGAATTCTTTCTGTTGGGCTTGATTCACTAGCGCTGCATCCTTTGCATTTCTATAGTATCTACTACGAGGACTGCTCTGAGCAATTGCTCATAGTTAGGCATAATTTTAGCCGTCAAATTTCACATCGCGACAAAACTCACGATACCATCCACAATATTTGGATGGTTGGCGGTCCACCACTGTGCATTTTACTAGGAGTTTTCTTCCTCGCACAAGTTCTTTGTGAAATCATTTACCACCGGCGATTTTTCCGGACTACTTAGGGATCTTCAAGAAAAGAGTTTACTCCTTCCTAAAAGGCCGGCAATGTACATGCAATTTCCTTGGTGTTGCAGTTGACCATTCGTTTACCATCAGATAAGCTGCATGCTCGTTTACTCCCTCTTCTATAAAAAAATATTGGCTCTACTGCTAATTCTGCAGCTGTCAGCACATACCAGCACAGTATAATGTCACAACGCTGTTTGTATCGTGATAATGGCTTTCCTTCAATTCGCAGTAGAGCAAACATCAATTAAAGGCTGAATGCTTGGGGGGCTTTTATATCGTTTTCGCAATAGATAGCTTTCGATAGAAAACGTCAATATGTGCTAAGATTCCGGCAGAACAAAAAAAAAACAACTAAATTTACTGTAGATGTAAAGTATGGTTTTATAATACCAGTTTAAATAATTCAACTACTAAACGTTTGGTTTTACAAATGCTATTGGTTTTCTACTTGTGAATAATTAATGTATTTGACGCGGCTTAAGCACATGTAAGACGAAAATTACATAGTTTTTATAATATTTTGTCATTATATAATTGTTCGTGACGAAATGTGGTGTAATTGTTAGTGATGTCTATTTTTTTTACGATTTCCAGAGTAGAGCCACGCTACAGCTATATTTTGATTGCAGCACGAAATGATCGGCCGGGGGAGGACCACACACTCTCACAGAATACTGCCGTAAATAGCAGCTTGTTGCTGCTATGTTTCATATGGTGAGTATAGAGGACCAGAGACCCGTTTTACTGGAATTGATGCATTCCATCTTAGTCCTCTGGGGTGACTACGCATCTGCATTTTCATTATTAATCGAGGTTAAATGTCGATGTTTATGGGACACAGCATCCACTTACCATCAGGTGGACTGTGTGCTCGTTTGCCACCCTAATTCTATAAAATAGCTAAGTACTCTAAATTCATGTGACTTCTTTTCAGTTGCAGTGCACGTATTCCCCTAGAGGCTTCCGTAGAGCCTTCTCCTTTGTAGGGAGTGAGTGTAAAAGTAATAAACCATGAGTATTGAATATCTGGAATCTATTAGTTCTCAGTGGTGTCCACGCATCTGTGCTTGCGATTTTTATTTGTAGTTGCTTTTAGATTTAAGAAATCTAATATTAACTTAGTATTAACATAGTCACTTAGCCACTCAGTTGGAATGTTAGCTTGTTTCTTGTTGTAATAATGTGAAAGTTAAAAAAGTAAAGTAAAGTAGATATGTCTAAAATATCCAAACCAATATCAGTTTTAAAAGAACTGACAGCAGGCAGGCTTATTTTTAAATTACCTTTACCTACATGTTAATCTATACATAATCTCAGGAACTATTGGTTCGAATTGAATTTTTTTTTAGTGTTGGATAGCCAATTTATCGAGGATAGGCAGCGGAGCATCAATGAAAAATGTTGCAAAACGGGACAAATTTATTCCTTTTGATCGAAGTTTTGAGAGCTTCCGTTTCATACGCTGCGTAGTGTTAAAATTACGCAACAATCATGTATGTATAACGGAATTGTTCCTCTAAAAAGTTATTAAAAAAGTGCGCAATAACATACGTCCATCTTTTAATGTTAACTCACTATAACTTTTTTTATGGTTATCAAATTCATTCTAAAGTAATGCATTGTTTGCGAAGGTGGTTTTATTCATCACAAGTATTTAATTTTAAACAAAATTGCCCTTACTTTACATTATTTGATTTCAATAAATATCCTAAGAGATATCACAGTTTTAAAATAACTCCGCAGGAAAATAATCAAGTAACGCGCGCGCGTTTTTATTATGCGGAATGATGTGCGAGGCGGGCGGTCATAGTGTTGCCGACACTTTTTAAAGAAAACGCGCTGAATTGACTTCAAAAAAGTGCTAAAGGAGATGTTTGATTTTGGGCTACCACTATGTACACTACATAGATAAATAGGAAAAAAATTGAGTAATTTCATAAAAATACTTACAAATTAATTTGAAGAAGGGTACAGGCGTACAAAATGATCATTTGAAAAGTTTTTTTATAGGATAACCCTATTTCGAGGGCAGCCATGACAGTTGTGTTTTATGACGTTTGACGACTTTGACAGTTTTAAGAAGTGACGTCTTTGAGTATTGCTTTGCTTTGGGTTTGAATTGGATGTGTTTCGGAGTTTTTAGTGATTGTTTTTGTTTTACGACCCAGTTTACTATTACGGACATTGATTTGATTGCTTCTCTGTTGACCCCGGCTTTGTTATATGGTTTCTGATTCGCCTGTGATTTGGATTCCGTCGTGTTATTTTACAATAACAAGTTCAGTTTCAGGTATGTCCGCTACCCGTGCATTTACTTGTTTTGTTCAAATGCTATTTCTATGTGATGATTTCTTCCTTTGTTCCATATTCTAATAGATTTTAACTCATACTTATTTCAGTTTATTGACAATGGCATGCCTCCAGTGCACTTCTGTAATAGATGAAAATGAACAATATTATGCTACCGATGATATGGGTCCTGAAATAATTTCGGTCATCGAGCGGTATCTTGGCCATCTGGTAAAAAACATTTTATTTATCTATTTACTGTAACATATTTTTAAACACTGTATAACCTCTTTTTTTGTTTTGTTTTGTTTTAGGTTGATGGAAATGAAGTGATGTGCTCACAATGCTTTGGCATCATAATGCAAGAGGTATCTAATGGTCTGGCACATGGAGATCACGAACTCCAACATTGCCATGATAGCAATGTTTGTGTTAGGTGTAGGACATCTTTGTTTAAGAGGCGTGCACACTCTATTCCCGAGGGTGCCGAAAGGCAATATATTGCTGAAACAATTGCTCCAAGAGAGGTAAGCACCTCTTTTGTTTTCTTTTTTATTCATACAGGCAGTCAAATGCAGATGTTCCTTAATTATGGTCTAAGACAATATTATTGCAGGAAGAAACAGAACAGTCACAATTTAATTTTTGGAAATGTGTGTAGATATGTAACTTATAACATCACCTTGGTTGAGTCTGTGAAGGTGATGTTAAAATAACTAAATCTTGATTTATTAAAATGATTTAGAAATGTTGTGATTTAAATTATTTAGAAATGTTTTGATTTAAATTAATAAATATTAATTTCATATTTTTTGTTTTAGATACCCGAGGGTGGTTTAATATGTTTTGCTTGTTGGGTACATACTCGGCGTACAATACAACAACAAGGAATCATAGCAGCTCCTGCTGTTATGAATATGAATGCATGTGTATGGTGCCGACGGTCTCTTGCCCAAACACGCAGCCACTCCATACCTGAAGGACCTGAACGGACCATAATAACACAAACGATATATCCAAGAGAGGTAACATTAACAACTTACTTAATTACCTACTGTTGGAATTAAATAATTGGGTTAATAGTCAATACATATTGTTTTCTTTTGTTTAATTCAGATTCCACCAGGAGGACTGGTTTGCTATGCTTGTTGGGTAGCAGCACGTAGAAATGTGGAGCATGCTACAAGGGTTGAGGATAACCGGCAAGGCCCATCTAATCTTCACCAAGACTCTATGTGTGCATGGTGTAGAATGTCGCTACACCGAAGGCGAACACATGTGGCTAGTGGTCCTGTGAGAGATGAAGTTGCAGCAAGAATTTACCCCAATGAGGTAAAATTATTTTAATTTACTAAACCACCATACACAAGTAATGTAACTTTGCATTTAACTGTAAGTAACCCTTTCTGTTGCTCCTGTAAGTAAATTGTTTCTTGTATTGTTTCAGTTACCAGAACATGCGCTACTTTGTTCCAACTGCTGGACACGTGCACACGAAAATATAGAAATGGAGCAAGAAGTTGTGCAATTTGATATCCAGCCACCAAGTGCATCAATAACACTTGATGGTTTTACACACACAACACAGACAAGTACTCATTGTTTTGTGCCGGCCTGTAACAATGTAGAACGAAATAGAGTGCCGGAATACTTAAGAAGAATTATATTAAAATCGGAAAAAATATTTGTGACAGAAAATGCAAGAGTATGTAATGAACATAAATGTTTATACAACTGGGAGTTTCTGGACCAGCATCAGTTCTCAAATACATTTACAAAAAATGAAATAGAGTCAATGCTGAAGCTGAGTATCCAGGACAATGAAATAAATCAACTAGATTTTAATAATATGAGTAGTATTGATGAGGGACTCTTTAAGTTCTGGACTGGAATTACAAAAGACAATTTTATAAATATTTTAAATGTAATAAGCCCAGCATTGACTTGCAAAAACCAAAAAATTGCTTTGGGAATCTATTTGGTGAAAGCTCGTACAGGGGACTCCCATGAAAGGATTGCCTCTCTGTTTCATCTGACCAAGTCCTCAATAACACGATTGCTTAGAGTAGCTAAAGAGGCATTGCTAAGGTTATTTGTGCCTCTCCACTTAGGAATCAATCATACAAGAAATGATTTAATAAATAGGAATTTATTAATACCCGAGGGTTTGTTTGGAAACAGAGAGGCAAGAGTACCAATAATAATATTTGATGGTACCTATATATACCTTCAAAAATCATCCAACTATATGTTCCAAAAAAAAACTTATAGCTTGCACAAATATAGAAACCTTGTTAAACCTTTTCTCATTGTTGCCACTGATGGTTATATTATTGATATTTTGGGGCCCTATCCAGCAACCAAATCAGATGCTGACATCATGAAAGCTTTGTTCCAAAATGAAAATGAGGGTCTAAGGGCTTTTTTTCAGCCCAATGATGTTTTCATTTTGGATCGAGGCTTTCGTGATTCCATTCCAATGCTAGAGGGGTTGGGCTTCAAAGTATTTAAACCGGAGTCATTAGAACAAGGAGAGACTCAGTTATCAACCATCAGTGCAAACAAGACAAGATGTGTGACACTATGCAGATGGGTGGTAGAAGTAGTTAATGGCCGATTTAAAAGAGACTTTAAGCTATTGAGACACGAATATTTTAATTTGGCTGCCACCCATTTGATGGACGATGTTCGTATTTGTGCAGCTATAATTAATGCATTCCATCCAGTGATTGAAAATAGACCAGATGCTGATGCTATACTTACTCGAGCAATACAGAGAAAAAATATGCCCAACCGGTTAGCAGAACTTATAATTGCTAACCGGATCAACCGCTTTAGAGCCCAATTCACAAGAATTGATGGTCAACTTCCAGAGTTAAGTATTTTCCCTGAAATGACTATGTCTGACTTGATACTTTTTGGGCTGGGTACCTATCAAATAAAACAGGCTAGAAGCTATTTCGGGGAACATATTAGGCAGCATGGATCATTTCAGGTAGAAGTATCTGACCAACTGGAAGTAGTAGCAGAAGCAACCCCATCCCAACTTGATCCTCTTTTAATCAGAGGCCGTATAAAATCTCGACATAGCTCAGGACGAACATATTATACATATATTTTGCTGTCAAAGGAAGGATCAAGTTGGGATGATAAAATAATTAGCTATTATTGTAGTTGTATCTCCGGACAACGAACAGTGGGTTGCTGTGCTCACATTATGACCATTGTGTGGTATTTGGGTTGGGCTCGGTACCAAGAGAGCATAGAAGCACCGGCGTCATTCCTGGATGGAATATTAATAATGGATGATGTAGAAAATTAATAAAATTAAAAGTCTCAACAAGTTGTTTTATTTGTATACCTCATGACTTATTTCTCATGCTATTAATGTCTCTAATACTAGGAATCATATAACATAGAACTTGTTTGAAAAATTGTTAGTGTTTAATTGGGCACTGGGCCCGCATGTTGGATTACAGTCCACTCTCACAGAAAGTAGTTATATGTCTCAGCGGTAGAAACATTATAGGCTGATTATGCTGCTGCTACCTAATTGGATAAGAATAGTTGATTTCTTCCCATCTGTTACTGTGTAATAGGTATAGTTATCTACTTTAACTATAACTTGCAGTCATCAGGTACTGTACAGCTAACTGCTCTCCTATGAATTATTGAAGTACAGAGTATATTTATAGGCACTAAAGTAAAAAACTAAACGAAGCAGCAGGAAAGTGTTGTAAATAAAATAACGTTCAAGCCTTTGTTTCGTTTCTTGCTCCTCTTGACACCGATATAACCAATCTGTAACTACTCGAATAGGTGATATAAAATGTGGTGCCGCAATCGAGAAGAATATCCTGTAGTCTTATTTTATCGAAATCCCAGATTTTTGAAATTCGTGTTGTTTTTTTTTATTGCAGATATTACGAATTACTATACACGTCAATCAAATGTCACTGTCAATATGACATTTTTCGCGTACTGCTGTTCCGATCCACCTGGATCCACCATGTTTAATTTTATGTTGTGTTGCTCTCCTTGACCAAGTTAATTTGAATGTACAATGAAACGCAGTGAAATTAAAGAAAACTAACAATAAAAAACGGTTACTATATTATACAGCAATATTCACATATAGTGTACATAGTGCTGGCCCAGGCTCCATACATTTATGGAACATCTCCTTTGGATATTTTTTTCGAAAAAAAAAAGCCAAAATTATAAAAACGATAAAAAATTGGTAATTGTTATTTTTAATTGAAAATTATACAAAAAGACAAAAATTATTTACATATTCACTAACCACTCTTATTCATCGTCAGAATCTTGTTATTTTTGAACAATTTCCTGGCTCTCCTGCTGAGAAGTGGAAGTTCCTGCTTGTACTGTAGTGGAAATTTGACAGTTTGAATGAGTCGACATTATTGCTGTCTACTTTTTTGTCACTTCTTTTGGAATGTCGAAACTAAAGCATATCGTAATTACAAAATTTCAAGCCAGTTCTCATATACAAAATCGAATTGAGTGTATTAAGATTCATACGGTTTCGTAACTTTGATTTAACTACCTTCATCGGACTGAAAATCCTTTCGATGTCTGCATTCGAGTGGGGTAAAACCAAAACATGTAAAGCAAGATCTGCCAATTCTTGAAATGGATTGTTACCACCAGCTTCTTTGTATTCTTTAATTTCCGTATAAAATTGTACAGTGTCATTTGTGACTATCCATGTCTCAGATACTATATTGCACCACTGACCATGTGTGAAAATTCTTTGGCAATCTGTCTTGTAACTCTTTTATTAATTTTGCAGTAAAGTTAACTCATTCTTTACATATATTGCTCTTTTTTAAGTCAGAAAACGGTTCTAATTACTTTTCGAAATTGTAACCGGAATGTGGCGTTGGGTCTAAATTATCTTCAATATATATTGTTAAAATTATAAACATATAATTAAAATGTCGATAGAATGTCGTCAAATAATACATATTTTTTATTTATGAGGCTTTACATGCTTGTTGCACTGTTGTTTTATTTATTTCGAATAATTATGTTCCGTTAAATGTTGATATGTCCTTCACTGCTGGCCGTATAAGGACGCTCAAGGTCGCTCAGCGAGCTATGGAGAGGGCTATGCTCGCAGTTTCTCTGCGTGATAGACTCAGAAATGAGGATATCCGCAGTAAAATCAGAGTGACCGACATAGCCCAACGGATTAGTAAGCTGAAGGGGCAATGGGCCGGCCATATAGCTCGAAGAACTGATAACCGATGGGGAAGAAAGGTTCTCGAGTGGCAGCCTCGTACCGGTAGGCGTAGTGTAGGGCGACCCCCCACTAGATGGAGTGACGACCTGGTAAGATATGCAGGAAGTCGATGGATGCAGGTGGCTCAGGATCGTGCTTTGTGGCATTACTTGGGGGAGGCCTATGTTCAGCATTGGACTTGTGAAGGGCTGTAATGATGATGATGATGATGATGAAATGTTGACAATTCATAGAAGAGGAATATTATTTAAAAAGCGCTAGATTGGGCGCTAAGCACTACATTTTTTTGTTGGGCGTTGAAAGAGCCTAAAAAGCATTAGATCTAGCACCGAAAGCGCAAAGTTGCCATCACTGGGCGGTCAGGCGCAGTAGCGAGGCCAGCCGATAGCTCTGCGAAGCAATGTTGCCAGATACACTGTAATTACAGTAAATCTCTGGTCTACTGGATACCGTATTTTTATACATATTTTATACAATACAGTGTATGGAGACACAGTATTCTTTTTTCAACAAAAAATAAAATTTCATTATATAATGAGTTTTTATATATAATATTCATAATTTACGATAATTTTCATTATGAAAAATATCGTAAATTATGAATGACACACACAACACAGAAAATAGGGTATTCATGTATTCCCCGCATTAGCCGGACCATAGAGGTTAATATAATTTGGATAAATTAAGTTAGATATGCCATAGTGTAGTTTTAATGTTATATATTATGTATCATTTAAATTGTCTGGTATTGGATATGATTGACACCAACTGCTTCGACCGAGCTACAACAAATAGGCAATCGATGGCGGAAATTGCCGAAACTAAAAAAGACTTAGATACAAGTCAACAACCCGATGTATTTTGGCAAATGGTAAAAAGCATTTTATCAATTACAAGTTTTGAGCTTTCTATACATTTTTTCGTATTACATACAATACAGGTGAACCAGTTTGAAAAGTTTAATAACACAAAAACTAAGAAGAGAAACCAATTAATTACTAAAACAATTAAGGGCAATATTATGGTGGTGGCCATTGTCGAAGCTTAAATCTTTTAAATCAGAAAATTACAAAAAAGGGGTGGCAATTGGTAGTGACACCGACTAAACTATTTTTTTCATAATGATATAGAGATGTTTAGTTACTTTGAGGATATTATGCTTAAAATAAATGGATATTTCACGTAATAAAATAAATTTTTTTATACGTCATTTAATTGCACTGTAAAATACAATGTATTTTTTCATCAAACACTGTATTTTTCTCGCAACCAACATATTTTATGTGGACTACACGGTATTTTCGATAATCTGATCCGGCAACACTAATGCAAAGTAGCATGCCGAGCGCTAGCGGTTCAGACCTCTCTTATCTATGGTAGCTCAGACGCGTGGTCGGCTATCTAGGAAATGGTTGTGTTCAACGAACTGCTTTCGTATATGTTTTTGCGATATCTCATCGTATAATTTTAGTTCTAAATAAATAAGTTTTTTTTTAAATTTATAGATGTTTTTTCAATTATTTCTTCACTAAGTAAGTAGGTAGGTATATAATTTGATTTTTTAGTAATTTTGTAATGGGTTTTATTTGATCACTTATTATTTAAGTAATAAGTGTATAAGTAAATGGTTTTGTTGATTCTTTTAACGTTTGATTTTTTTATTATTTAAGTAGGTATAATATTATTATCACTTAGGAGTACATGATTATGCACTATTTCAAGTAGCTAGGTACGTAATTTATCTTTTATATTTTTTTCTTAATTATATGGTTAGATTTTTTATAGAATAAGGGTGAAACTCGAGCACACAGTCCACCTGATGGTAAGTGGATGCTGTGGGCTATAAACATGTACATTTTTTTCATTTAACAATCAAAACGTTGATGACTGCTCATCACCCCTGAGGACTAAGATGGAATGCCTCGTTTCCAGTAAAAAAGTGTCTCCGGATCTCTACACTCCCTGTACGAAACACAGCAGTATTAAGCTGCTATTTTACGTTGGTATCCTGTGAGAGCGTGGCCCTTGCCCGTTCGAGCCAACTCATTCGTACAACCATAACATAGCTGCAGCGTGCCTTTACCATGTGGTAGAGCCACACCGCAGCTATACACTACTGCCTAATTGCCCACGTTCAAATAACACAATAATTAAGTTACTTTTATCTGCAATAAAACAGCGGATTCAAGAAATTGATATATTATTGCTATCACACGATATTATCCGTAAAAATGTGTGTCAAACACGTAATATTAGATACAGTAGATCGTACCCATCACTACAGCATTAACTTTACAATTAACGTCAATTAGTTTGTAAGAGTTTATAAGTCATTACTGACTGAGAGACTGGTGGGTGGCAACTTAGTTTAAGTTTTACTCGATATCAATATGCTAAAAAGAATGTTAAATAAATTTGAAGACTCTGAGAATCCATTATTAGGACCAAATATTAAGTCACTAAAGTTTTGGGGATTATTGATTTCAAAAAATACACATATAAAATGTTTTCATTTTGTTTTGTTCATTTCAATTTTCTTATTCGTTACAACACAGTATATTGATGTTTGGCTTATACGATCTGACGTAAATTTGCTTCTAAATAATTTGAAAACTTCTATGGTGAGCACAGTGATAGTATTTAAAGCCCTTATGTTTTTATTCTGGCAGAAAAAGTGGAAGAGTCTTCTCGATTTTATAACACGGAACGATCTATACCAGAGAACTAGTATTAATGATCCTAAGAAGATAAAAATTATTGAAAAAAGTACAAAATACTGTCGTACCGTAACCTACGTTTACTGGCTATTAACATATTTTACCGCTACTTCATTAATGATTACACCAATTTTCAAATACGTGTTTTCACATACTTATAGAAAAAACGTTAAAGAAGGAACTGACAGTTATTTAGACGTGGTAAGAACTTGGTCCCCTCTAGACCAAAGCAGATTCTCTGGTTATTTAATTTCTGTTTTATATCAAATACACGCATCAGTTGTTGAGAGCGGTTATATATCATCATTTGATACTATCGTCATTACAATAATGGTGTTTTTTAAAACTGAACTCATTTTATTGAGAATTGATTGCTCCAAAATATTTAGCTCCATGTTTTCATCAGAAGACGATGAACGTTCTCGCCGCAAAATAATGGATTGTCACAGAAGACACGTTAAGCTTCTTAAGTAAGTATATACTTAAATACAATCTTGTAATAAGGGTTTTTATCCTTTGATGATAAATACATAATTAAAATTTTAATCAATAAAGATATGTACCTAAAGTCAAAACGTATGCGGCATGTTTAAAAATTTGGAAGATGTCTAACAGGGTATTTACGCAAAAGAATTATTTGAACAAATTTGAACAAAAGATTCTCTTCCCTTACTCCAATTTATTCGGCTTATTGCGTTAGTTTTCACTCCTTCTCATATCAATTAAGCTCGTTTCATGACTTGGAACCCACTTCCGAAGAGTAGTAGCTTTGGCATAGATCTCGTCATACGACTCGATTTCGACAAAATATGTATAGCTCAGTTTCGAACATAGCGGCTTTTTGCCTTTAGGTAAAGTAGGACTTGGAACGCAGTATTATATTTTTCATGCAGTCTTCTAGTACTACAAAGATGCTGCATTTTGAACACAAACTAAAAATTGTTGGCCTTTCGAATTCCAAGTTTGATCTCCGTATGTAAGGACGGGAGGAAATAAACATTACAAAGAATACAACAATAAGAAAAAAGGGATGCACTTTGCTCAGTTGAAACGTGACGTGTACGGTAGAATGTAAGATCTCATTAATAACTTAGAAGATCGATATATTATATACTACATTCTGGCAATAAATAATATTGAGTTGAAAAATTGTGCGTCAGCGTCGCTCCAGTGCCGGATTACGGACATTGAAATCTCCTAGGAATATTCTCTATCTTCTCAGAAATGTATTTGTAATCTAATTAGCATTGCAAAAAACTATAAAGGCAGGGATAGAATTAGGTACAATTTTCCCTATCACTACTTTTGAGTTAGAGTATTTCAGTTTAATGAGATAATGTACATTTATTATAATTTCAGAAACGCTGAATTGTTCAATTCCTGTTTGTCACCTGTTATGTATTTGCATGTGGTTATATGTTCCATATTGCTTTGTGCATCCATCTACCAAATAACGGTAAGAAATGCCATTTTAGTGATGTTTTAAGAAGGATTTGAAAGAAAACATAATGAAAAAAGACATGCACCTAATAAAGTTTTTTTTAGGTGGAAACTAATACAATGCAACTGTTTCTCAAGATAGAGTTCCTTATTTTTGGAGTTTCACAACTGTTTATGTATTGTTGGCATAGCAGCGAAGTTTTTACTGAGGTAACCGTTTTTGTTATTGATTTAGAACATCATTTATCCCTAGATTGATTTTATCCACGTTTCTTACGTAATGGAGTCACGCTTTAGGGTATTATGGTGGCAACAGAAATAGGTGTGCTCTACCGGTGAAGGACCATACCCGTACAGAATATCAGTGTTAATTAAAAGATATGTTAATAGGCATTCTATTTTAATCCTGCGGTAACAATCCGTATATTATATTATATTTAGAGGAAAGATGTTTCTCCACTTCCTATAAAAGCATCAAAACCGTGTAGTGGCGAGTAAGAATATTCACCACCCCATATTATCCAGTGGATGCCGTGAGAGGCGACAGAGGAAAACAGATTAGGAGAGAGGCAGCATTACTTCCTAATAACGATTAAAAATAAAAAGTTGCGGGTGGCACCGCGCTTGGCAAGCGCGGCAACTATGGCAAATATCGCCGCTATGAGGCCATCTAAGGGGGAGGGTTATGTTCAGCAGTGGATTTAAATAAGCTGTCATGGTAACGGTATCAAAGCATATATTTACCATTAGCAGTTTACTGCTATGTAACCTTCACTGATATGTAAAAAAAGTTTGCGGATACTGTGTGAAATTTACCTTTGCCTTTTCTGACCTAAGGTTTACGCGGGAGAGTATACAAAAACTAGTGCCCTGCCCAAATAAACACAACTCTGCCTCTAGATCCTTAAAAAGCATTATTTTTTCATTCATAACACATTAGCATAATTGGCAAGAAACTAGTTTACTTTCTCCTCCAGGAACACGTTCATTGTGGCTTTTCGCCAAAGCTGTCCAATAAACGGCCATTGCTTTCATTTTCACATAATATAGTAAATATCTTGCTGGTAAATGCTAGTAAGGAAGGCCATCTATTTAGCATCTCCTTTTGTGTCCAACCCGATTACGGAGAAAACTCAACGCCGAACAATGTAAATAGTCTTTAACTGATTTTCATTTCACATAATTTCAGTGCAAAAAGCATTTCCTCGCTCTTTAATAGGCCACACACAAGTTGAATAGGCCTCGGAAGGAATCTCTTTTATTGTATTGAGGATTAGTGCTTCGAAGTTATTACCTCTTACGTATCTCTTCCAGTTCCTTACTTTTTAGGCATCATTTCGAAATCTTAAAAGATTTTTTTTGCTCCCGATCCTTAAAAGTCTACTGCTTATCTCCGACCAACTTCAGGTCTATTGTCCGTATGTCCAGCATCTATTGTTTTATGCATACAAAATTAATTGCAATGTTACAGAGTCAAAATTTGCGACTGGGTCCTTATGAATCATTATGGTGGAGTCGTGCAGAAAACCGTCAAAAAGATGTCTTTATTTTGATCGGCCAATTTAGTAAAACTATAATATTTACTGCAGGACCATTCGCAAATCTTACTCTTTCAACTTTTGTAAACGTAAGTAATTTTTACACCAGTGAACAGTTTTTAGGTTGTTGCTTTTGTATGATATTTGTATTATAATACCTTCTACTAACAATCCTAGTATAAAAATAACTTTTTTGTAATTGATGACTGGAAAAGTAGTCAGATTTTACCAAGGATAATTTTTTATTCTAGGATAACATGTATGTTTGTGATAATTTGCAATGCTTATACCGTAGTAATGGGGTATTTCTTTATCGATTTATGGTAGCAGCATATGGGAACTCATGACGCCAT